TAGCATTACTCATTTGATAAAGTGTATGTGTGTGTGTGTGTGTGTGTGTGTGTGTATGTGTGTGTGTGTGTGTGTGTGTGTGTGTATATTTGGTTCCTTCAAGTCAGTATTTGACTCCTAGCAACTGCCTGGACATGTCCCTGCAGTTTTCTTGGCAAGATTTTGGAAGTGGTTTGCCCTTGCCTCCTTCCTAGGGCTGAGAGAGAGTGACTGGCCCAAGGTCACCCAGCTGGCTTTGTGCCTAAAGCAGGAGTAGAACTCACGGTCTCCCCCTTTCTAGCCTGATGCCTTCACCACTAGACCAAACTGACTCTAAAGTGGTAGTATAAACTATGTGTTTAGATATGAAGAGTGACTTTTAGGAATTCATGCATCCGTGATAGAACCTCTCCACAAGGGCTCTGTAGAACAAGGATAAGTGTACCTTTCTCCAAGCTTCGGCAATAGATTCATGCAACTGATAAGGCAGCAGCACCTCTAAGCCTTCGCAGGTACTATACATCTGGCGGCACACAAAGATGAAAGCCCCTTTGAGGACTGGCAACATCTCAGATCCAGACAAAACAGAAATATCTTCATCAAGAAGCTTCTTTGTAAACTGGGCAATTACATGTGCACCCCTAAGGCTAGAAACAAGGCAAAATCATTAAAAAGCAGTATTCAATTAGCTGTCATAATACGGATGCATGGGTATGACTATAGAAAAGGTGAGATGCGCAGCCTTCCATCTCCTTTTTTTTGGTCCCTCCCTAGAGATCCCAAGATCATGCCCCCAATCTGCCAATTTGATTGTGTCATTATCACGGTATCTACAGAAATAAACTGGTTTACCAAAGTGTATTTCCAACTGTAGAAAGGTCTCCCACTCCTGACTATTAGAATCTTCCCATAGCAAAACAAAAACAAAACAAGAACAGACAAAAACTTAACAAAATATATGAAGGAAATCCCTCTTCTCAATCCTCCAAACCTATAAATCCAAATTATTTAGCTAAACATTCAAAATATTATGATAATCACATTTTTCCCATTGTTCCATCTGTATAACCATAATTTTAGCCCACTTCATCATACATTCTTTCACTTGTTCTTCTGTTTCAAATTTCAATGAAAATTTATACATTTTAGCAATCACATGTTCATCATTTGTACACAATTCCATTTCAAAGTCAGTCTTACAATATTCAATACCGTACATTCTTTTGTCTACTTTGAATCTTTCTGACAACTGTAAATAGGAAAACCATTGACAACTATGTCCCTCTGCCATCAGTTGTTCTCTTAATTTTATTTTGTACTCCCCTTGACAGAATTCTAGTACCACATGGTATGTTAATCATTTGTGTTTGCCTATTGGGAAAATATGTGGCTGAAAGGACTGAAATTTACACTATGTTAAAATCTTAAAGAGAACTTTTATAAAATGATGTACTGTTGGGATATGACACCAGAAAAATTATCTAGAATGTATAAAGGTATTTCAAATCTATGTTGAAAATGTGAAGAACAAGAAGAGTCATTTTATCATGCTTGGTGGACCATGCAAAAAGGCTAGAAGATTTTGGGTTCAAATGCATACACTAATTCAAAGGATTTTAAAGATTAATATACAACTGAAACCAGGACTTTTCCTCTTGGGACTGATGGATAAACAGTTGGGGAAAAAATCAGCAGTAAACAATACCCTAATCAAGGAACTACCAGAGGGAAAAGAATAAAACAAAACAAAACCCACACCCACACCCACACCAA